TTAGCCAAGGTGATGAACTGTCTCCAAGTCTGTTCAACTTTTTAAATTTAGTAATAAAAAGGAATATGTGCAATGATTCTTCATAGCTGTAAGTTCTGAAAATAAGAGCATATGCAGCGTTACAGCCCTCCTGGAAGGGGAAAAAGCTTGAACAAACTCTAGCTATAATATATAAATAGTAACTGGTTTTAAATGGATTCTGGAAAACTCTGCGGGGTGAGATTATTCTTGTGTTTCCATAAAGCTAAAATAATGGCTTTCCATCTGTTTCAGCTCTAGAGTGAAGCTGTTGCATAGCTCATTCTCAGCAAAGACAGACTGGTATACCTCCTTTAGTACATAGTGTTGAAACCTGACCTAGCATTAAAATTCAGTCCTTGCCCAAGGTCTTCCTGGGTGTTAGGGGAAGCTGAAGATAAGCACTAAGTTTGCACAGGTACTGGTAAAACAAATAAAAAAAAAAAAATATTTTTTTACTTGTATGGTTTTATAATCTTGATGTAGGTTTGAAGAGAACTTTTAGCAGATAATCTGCTAAATCCAAAGAAGCCCATTTAAGTTGCAAATGTAAAGAGGAAAGGTAGGAGGATGCAAATATGCATTTTAATTTCTTAGTTTCACTCCCAAATTTATCATCTATAGCTATCTAGTTTGTGGAAAGGGTTTCTGAAATGGTTGCTTTTACCCGGTTTTCCTCTTTAATCTCATACCATGATCAGAATATCTAAGTTATAAGTTCTTGCTGTTGCTGGCCATGCTTTGGTTTGCATGAAGAAAGCTGCAATAAACTTTCTTTGCTTGCTTTCAAGTTGCAATTTTGGATTTAATGTAGCTGTATTTCTGACCTTGTTTTCTCTGCAGCATAAAAGGAACTATATGGCATTGAACTGTAAAACCTGTCACTCTACTGGTCTGGGGTAGCGAACCAAGAAGCACTTCTTTTGTAACTTACTACAGTTAGGGAGATAGTGTGAACCTTTGCAAACCTTCCACCTCCATTTGCTTGCAAGACACAAGAAGCATTTCTTGCCGTTGGTGTCAGAAGGTACAGGAAGGAGGAAGGCACCTGTTACTCATGTTTCTCAGTAGCATGTGAAATTTTCATTTCACATCCATGCCCTTTATCTATGCTGGTAAAAGCTGCAACACAGCACCCTCCGGTCAAACACCAGTACTCTCTCAATATGCCTATAACTAACTCCAAAATGGTACGAGAAAAATACTAATGGCAAATTTGCTTTGTATCTACTACACTTCCTTCTGTTACAGTACTTTCAGAAAACACTCTGAATGTGGAAAAATGTAAGAACGATGCCAGATCATGAAATCTGTTGGACACATAGCTGGACAGAATGTTCCTCATCTTCCACTAACTTTATGATTTCATGAGTGACCTCAGCACTTTTCTCTGATAAAAGTTCACAGTTCAGCTGGGTAAGGTGATGTAGTTTATTGTAATTAATTTAGCAAACATGGACATGTATACAAGGAATCCAGCTTCATTGATACTGGTAAAGGTCATAATTCACACAACCTTTTAGTTTCATGGAATAGAAAACTACTGAATATGACTCACAGAAATAAGTTTCAAAAACTGTTGCACGTTCACATACATGTTAGCCTTCAACGACCACTTTCCCTGAACTAAAAGAAAATAGTCCTCCGGTCTAGCCAGAATTAACAGCTGGTCAACAGATCAATGGACAGTGGTACGAGAAACAGCATTTTCCAACAGCATAACACCTTGTACAGTCTTCATCACAAGCAGCAGCAAACAGCAATATTAATCCAGCAAAAATTCAACATTTTACATAATAGCCTGCATCCAGGAATTCAGGGTAGAGTTGAGTATAAAGTGCCTTTTAAAGACAGGAATGTGTATTTGCCACCCTCGCGTATAGATCTCACGCTCATTTAATTTGGTCAAACCAAGAAGATTCCCTGAGTTATACATAAAAGCAGGCTTTTCAACAAAATTAAAAATAAATAGATAGTAACATCATGGTCAGTGAAGGTAATTGTTAGATTTGCTTGAAAGCTTTAAAAACACCACAAACAGTAGCTGTAAAGAGCAAAAGCTCAAGCCATAAAAATTAAGAGGGCTGCCACCAAGAACTCTGCGGTTATGTCAAACTTTCAACTGTAATGGTCTGTGAAGCGAAAGGATTTGGGCTCTGAACTAATGCAGCGGATGTTCTGCATCTGTTTTGCTCTTCTGGCTTCTAATCTAAGCTGCCTTGCTCGCTCTTTAGCAGCTAGTTCTTCTGCTCGTTTTTCTTCTCTCTTTCTTTTTAGCCATCTGTGGAGAGAGAAACGGGACTAGAAATACTGACAGTTGCAATTGTAAGTTTTACGTCATCCATTCAAAGACATGTGTCCCCATTTAACTAGAGGCACCTTGTCCTGTAGGATAAAGTTAGGTGTCATGGCTGAGCCAGTCTAAAAGCCTGCCACTCCTAAACATGGGAAGCACTACTTTTCCATCCCAATTCTCCTGCTTCTGCACTCACCTTCACCTCCCCCTTTTTGTTGAGCTGATTCAACTCATAGGCTCGAGTTGAATCCATTTTATTGGATTAACTTTCTGCTTGTTTAATGAACTGAATCAACCCAAGCCTGCTCCAGAACAGGCAAAAAGGGGCAGGGGAGAAGGATCTCCCTTTTTCAGCAGAAGCAATTCACTATTTCAGCTCAGGTTCTGACAAGTAATTTCACAACAGTGAACAAACAACATCAAGGAATTGATGTATTTCTACTAGGGTATAAGTTTATGAGGGCATATTCATGCGGGGGAGGGGGGGAGGGACTTGAGCAGTAAAGATGTACCATGAAATAACTACAGTCTTAAGCTGATACACTACGAAATTTTCAAATATGATTCCCTAGGAATGACCCTACTCACTCTTTAAAGGCTCTGTTGCATTCCTCTGTTCTTGGAAAAAAGGCAATTCCCTCAGCTTGGCGTCTCAAAATTTCTATCTGTTTTTCTTTCATGTGTTCTTGGTGCTTTTTTTTAAGCCATAACTTGAAGGCTTCTTCTGGATTCCTGCTCCTTTCCTATTTAAAAAAAAATACATATACACACAAGGCTTATCATTAAATGACCTTTATATTAATCATGTTATAATAATTTTTTGAACTCTGCTGGCATCTCCCATCCACAAAACATACTTTATAAGCAAACTAGAGCATATGCTAATCTGGCATGGAATATATACATGAGCAAGCATTCAAAGCGGTATGTTTTAAAAAAATACTGAATTTGGCTTCTCAAGCCCATCGCTAGAAGGCAGAGGAACTTCAGAACAGAGCATCTGAATCTTCAGGTTTTGGTCAAGTCACACACATTAACTGCTTGCCAACAAGTTCCGATGGTAAGGAATACACTTCAAAGGGTTTTCTGGCTGCTTGTTCACTGCAGGGTTCCATCAAGTCACTCCCCTGATAAAAAGGAGCATTACTGTATCTCCTGTGATTTTATAGCTATTAAGTTCATATATGCAGCTTCTACGGCGCAAGCTGTATGTAAAGCGTATGTAAATTTTCATATGCTTAGAATTTGGTTTTCCTATCAAACCAGAGCACTATAGATCCCAGTCTTACATGAAGGAGATCTTACTTTGCTGTTCATGTCTTCTAGCTCCTTTGCACGACGAAGTCGCTTCTCTTCTTGCACTTGTTCTTTCTTCTTCTGTAACCAAGCTTTAAAAACCATCTCATTCTCTCTTTTCTTCTGTTCTTCTTGTTCCCTTTTCCTTTCTTCTTCCTTGAATGGAATGAAGCGTGAATAAACTTAGTTTTTAAGAGAATCGTCTTAATCTGCAAAGGCCTTCATTGTCACAATAGACAATAAATAAGCCATTTGAGTGATAAGAGAGAGAGACAAAAATACTGATGAAACAGGAATACTCAACAACTGCATCATAGTTGATACTACTTTTAGGAAGAAACGAGTTTGAGCGCTTCTGCAGTTCATGTTACATTCAGACACTTTCAGTCTAACCCCTTCTGTGATTACCTCCATTTCCACGATGCATCTCGACTCACAGACATTTCAATAGGTCAAGACTTTAAAATTAAGCCTGCCCAATAGCTCTGATTGATTGGCTTAAAATCAGTTTAAACTGATGCATTTTAAAAATGAATGAAACTCTCAGGCTTGATGGACTACTAAACCCTAAAGGATATTTAACTACCTATGGACTGCAGGCACTACCTTATAAATAAGGATTTTTTTCTGGACATAAAGTTGTAATGTATTTACTTAAGGAGCATTAATAGCTTCAGACTTTTTTCAAGTTTACAAAGTGAACTCATTTTTACAAAATTGAGAAAAGTTTTTTGTAATTATTAATTGCATTTTAGCTAACGACAAGTATCTACAAGGAGGAGAAAGGTTTTCAAACAACACTTCAGAAAGCTGATGAGGACATTTTACCAGGTTTTGATTCTCTTTGACACAAAAGCTACAATCCCCACTCATTTCAACACTCGGAGAAATCTATTCTTCTTGCGAATAGATGATGTTCCTTGCACCTACACACCACTTTCAGACTATCCTCCAAATTTACAATTTGTAATTTACTGAAATGGAAGAAACCCCACCAAAATGAAGCGGATGGATTCCAGTAATGTCAAGAAATGTTTCACGCCTGTGAAATCCATCACAGAATGGAAGAACTCCATTCAAGAATGAAGAAATAACACATTCTTACCTTTTCATAAGTCAGCCAACAGAGGAAGAGATTTAGCACACGCTGTTAGGAAAATGACCGTCCTTACCTCCACCACACTACCTTTTACTTTAAAGACACAGAGTATGGTGTCAAGAGATCTAGTCTTGTGTGTACAAAGAAACATCAGTAACTCTTCACATTTCATACGCCTTGTTACTGAGCTAAGCCTCAGCAAATTTTTCAAATAAAGCAAGCTAGACCTATTTCCACAGACAGAAAGCAACCTTTGAAGCTACTCAGCCAGTTTACTTAGAACATCGTGGCACAGAAAAACAGTAGATGCTTCATGCTCTTTTTATAGAGCAACATACATAGTAAGTTACCTTTTTGTACTTGTATCATCATAATGCAAAGCGAAGAAAAACATGGAAGTTTTTAAAATCTTTGGTAAAGATTTCTGAAGTTCCTGTTACAGCTGTCAGAGGCTGACTCTCTATTAAATATTATTTTTTTCTGACTAAGGAGCTGAGAAAGAATTAAAAGGGTTTTTTTGCCAGTAATACCTAAAGTACTGATTTTATTTTCTAAAATAGATTTTTTTTTTCTTTTGAATTACTGCCCTTTATAGATACAAGAAGAATAACCTCAGTATTGGGAATCTTTACTTCTTTTAGTCCTGTGTAGCACCCAGGTAAAACCAAGTAAGAGGAAAAGTAGAAAAGTAGTATCAATTAACAAAGAAAGGGGAAAAAAACCTACTTTGCAACAAACTCATTGAGAAAACTTACTACAACACTCACCCATGCAAAACCTTTACAGGAAAAAAGTATCCAGTTAATTATCGGTCAACGTGACTTCACCTGCATGCATCTTACACAAGCAGCAAGGCATGCCACTTCTGAAGTCAGCTGTATCTTCCATACATGTTAAACACACCTTGCTTTGTTCATAGTTCTCACAGTCATTCTCCTGTGTAAACCTTATTTTATGACTGAACACTCTCCCAGATGATAATTGCCTATTACATACTTCATGAGCACCCAAATGTGCACCTGCATTACTGTGGTTAATGTTAACTTCCTGCATTGCAGTGTAATCTGTGGAGATGCGGTACCATGTGCTACGTTCCAGTAAACACTGGGCCTGTAATGGAACCTGGGTAGAAAGAGAGTCAATAAGCAAAAGCAGTAAGTACAATACAGCAGAAGAAGGCCTATTTATGAAGGATATATTAAAATAAATACTTGATTTCTCCTGTAAGCAAGGCATGAGCCTATGCCACTCTGTGGGGTTTTTTTCTTTTAAGGAAAGGAGTTTTGAGAGATTCTGTACAAACTCCAGAGAATTATTATTATTATTGTTATTGCTGCCTCTTTTATCATGGAAAAATGGAGTAAATGCCCTGAACATGTATATGGTCTCTGTGAAGCAGAGGAACAGGATGGTCACTGTGATCTACTTGTTGCCTCTATATCTTTACCTCTTTCCTCAGTTTTTCCTTCCTTTGTTCTAACTGCTTCCGCAATTCTTTTTGTCTGGGAGAAAGACAGTAAGTGGAGCTTCTCACAGGCACATTTGCAGACTGCACTCTCTGCGGAGTCTTCCGTCTTCCCAGACCTCTTGCAGCATTGATAGCAGAATTTGGACGACGCTTAGGGTTAGACGGAGGCTTAGGGAAATACACACACTCTTCTCCACCAGGAGAAAAAGAATGTGCTCCTGGTCTTACTGTAGGTACTTCCTTCACTCCAGAGACAGTGCCAAAAGGACCGTAGTGTGAAGATTTTGGAGACATATGTTGAGTTTCAATATCAGTAAAAGAAACACTTATAGGGGGCAAAAAGCCCTGGCTTTCAATATCACGTAAACTTAAGAGTTCAAACTTCCCATCTTTTTCCACTAGGATATTACCATCCTTCTTTTCCTCATCCTTGCCAGCATGTGGTGAAAGTGATGTGTTTTCCTGTCCCATTTCATTAGAAATATGCAACCGAGATAGCCTATTTGAAACATCATCTCCTCTTGCAAGGTCACTTTTACAAACTTCAGCATCTTCTAGAGGAGGAACTTCAAGATCCACCAACTTATCCTTAAATTTTAATTTCCGTTCTCTGTTCTGATCCACAGGAGCTTGATTCTCCAGCAGTTTGTTGGCTTCTTCAATCTTTTCCAAGATGTAACGCTTTATTTCTTCATCCTCTTCCTCATCCAGTTCCTGCTGGTTTTCCAGCTTGGATTCCTGGATAGAGCTTTCACTATCAGTATCAGATACACGGTCCCCCTGTTTAGTATCAGACCCGGATTCCAAACTCTCTTCATTGGAGGGTCTCACTTTTGCATCTACATCTGCCTCTGAAACCTGATCTGGATTTTCTTCCATTTCCTCGTTGTCTTCCTCAAACTTGTCCGCAACTTTAACAATTTGTGCTTCAATATCCTCTTCATTTTTTTCAGGATTCTAAAAAAATTAAAATAAACTAGTCTATTCTCCCAACAAAGAACAGTATCAGAGAAAGAGAAAAGAAATAGCGAGAGAGAAGAGCAGTACTAACTATTCTAATTCTAAAACAGGCTGTCAAATAGTGCATGTCAACTAATAGCTTTTTTTGGCACTAACAACTCTCTTGCAGTTTCTCCATGTTCACATCTGCACAAAGTTGAACTCACCATGGCTTGCACAGTAAAGCGATCAGTGACAGCATAAAACCAGAACGTGTGTTGCACAAACACTTAAAGGAACCCAGAAGTACTTTTGAAACAAACATATTATTTTCAATGAACACTGAATTTTGTTTTAAGGCAATTATAACCAAACTAACCAGTTCACTGAATTATTTTTCACTATAATTCCAAATAACCTTCCTTGTCAAAATTCAGTGAATATACCTACACATTTCAAATCATATTGAATTTTGTGCTTATGATTCCAAATATTACTCAGTTTTGTCTTCTAAATAAGACAAACAGCATTTAATTTAACAAATACCTCTCTTTCACCAACGTTTTCTTTTTCTTCTTCATTAATTAGCCATTCGAGGTCTTTTTCAAAGTCATCCTCATATTCTCCACTTTCTGTTAAATCACCCGTATCTGCTGGATCTCCTTGGTCTTCCTTTTCGCTCATTTTGGTGATGCGTTAGAGCAATACTATAAAAAGGAGAGGAAAAAAATTGTTTTAAAACTCTAGTGACACACAAATATAGAACATTGGTATCTCTTATGTCACCCAGATCAAGCTTGTGAGCAGTATCAATACAACCACGTCATACAGTGCCACAGCACCTCGGAACTAAGGATCACTAATGGTTTATAAACATGAATGGTTTTGGCATTTCCAACTCCGACTGCTAGGGGAAGATCTGAGTCAAAGCAAACCGAGGTGACTTACTCAATGTCTTGCAACGAGTCTCTGACAGAGCCAAGACGAGCACTCGTGATCTCTTCAGTGTTAGTCCCATCCTTTAACAAAGAGATTGCTGGTTTATGTTTATTAGAAGTACTACCAGCTTTCATTGCTCCCAGGTGTGTTTTACATTGCTGTTTTATATCTGCCTGGCCCACTTTCCTTTAAAGAAACCTTACTTGTTTAAAGTTACATTGCAAAGATGTGGGATGCACAAGTCCAAGAAGATCCATGCCATGGCTTACAGTAGATCAAATTATCAAAAAGCTTCCCATAATGATGTATTAAAATGAGAAGACATTCATCGCACTCTTGATAGGAACCTTCTGCTAGAGTGACTGAACATTTACAAGCAGCTAGCTTTCAAACCATATCACCTCCACTAGTATTAGGGGTAAAGAAAGTCACGCAGACACCAGTTGAGACTGCTGGGAAAAGGATTCCGTTCTGGTTTGAATTTTTGAGGAGGAGAACAATGGGAAATACTCAGTAGCCAGTTAATCAGACTGAACAGAGTCATATTCATGACAAAACTGAAGATTAGCCACTATAAGGGTTGAATCTTTTAAACAACCTTTGGACTACACAGCACACAGGTGCCAACAGCTCCTGATGGACTGCTTAAATGCCAGCGCTTGGGGGTCCAGGCTGACTGCCTGCCACCCCTCAGCTCAGCTCACTCAATTGAAGGCATCGGTCTCCATCTAAAGACACAAAAGGGTTAAAGACATGTGGAGACGCACATCAGCCTAGACAGCTGATTCTGCTCTTTTTACAGCTTTAGCCACTCATCATTCCTTCCCTAACTTGTTTATTACTGTTTGCAAAAGCAACATTAAAGAAGGAAATGTTGATTATTCAAAAGTTCCTGTTCTCTTTGCACCCTCTGCTGTAGGCTGGAAGGTGCCACTTCTAAGTGTCTCTCTAGTAGGACAAATCTGTGTCATTTACAACATACTGAAAGATCCCGTTACGTGCATTAGCATATGGCAACACAATACGGGATGTAAGAGTTAGCTCTGACCTGGCATGGCCCTGGAACAGCAAGACAGCTCTTGCTGTGTGACCATCCTGCCCTTCCAGACAAGAAGGGTTGAACCTGTACTTCCCAATCTAAGCATTTTGTCATGCATTTTGTAAAAACCCTTCCATCCAGAAGATGCTGCTTAAATTCCTTCAAGCTTTTGTTTTAAATTCTGATGAGCATCTCAGAGCTCTCTGTTATTTACTCACATGCATACCAGCTCCACTTCTTAAAACTCTGCGTTTCATGCTCGACAGAGAGTGCTGCTCTTTTAGACCTCAAAATTTAGTCAAGATTTGTTTAAGAGGAAAGAATGGTAATAAAGCTGGGCACTGTTCCAAGCTTGTTCGTATACAAACTTTATAAAAGCTCTTCTTTTTGTTTGATCCATATTTTGTTCAAGAAAATCTGGCATTTTTTTCTTCCAATTCACTTCTTTTTAGCCATCACTTGCCACGAGAATCACTCCAGATTTCTCTGAGTTTAAATTCTCAAACTTGTTCAGATTGTTGTCTTGGCTTTCTGCACCATGTCTATTTCCATCATATTTTTCCTGCACCTCTTCTCATACGACATATAATCCTTTTTGCTTGGAAATGCCCCTTCCTTCACAAATATCCTTGGTTTGGGTGGTGACATGTACCTGGGTTCTTAATGGAAGTTACTTTGCTCTAGTACATATTCAGCACAAAAGAACTATTTCTCTTTAACTTCTTCATCATTATGATACGTGGACACAAAAGCTACAAAGCTGAATTGTGCCTTTAACAAAACACACCCACGTCAGTCTATGACACTCAAAATAAATACTGAAAAATGTTCCATTTATTTAGGATACATATAATAAAGGGGAGCAACATAAAAATCAGCCTCTTCTGTTGTAATGTAAAGTAGTCATGGCTGAAGAGGTAATTTCAGTTTAATGACCTTGTTTCAGAAAATCCACAATCAGCTCCTATTTTATTTAGGGTCTGATGAAGTAAAGATTAAAGTGCTTCAACTTTAATAGGGATCAAAAACATTCACAAAATCTCAAGTCTTCATTTTCACCTGCTTCTATTCTAACGGGGGGGAGGGGGGCGGGCGGGGTGTATGCTGCTACTGAC